GCTTAAGGCAATTTATTAGGTTTTGCACAGTTTCCTCTGGAGACACGGGTCTTGTGTGTTCTACAAAAATGTTGCAAATCCTTTCTGAGACTTGGTGGTGAAGCGTCTCTTCAAAAGTACCTTACAATTCGGGCTATTATTTCTTTTGCTTTTAAATACTTCTTTTCACTGAGCTGCCCCCTATAAGATGGGTTAATGGCAGAAATCTTAAAACCTAGGTACATACAATTAAAAGCAAAAATGGTAGAGTTTGGGGAAGACTCTGTTCTCTGTGGATCTCCTTGAAGTAAACTGGTGACACTAAGTGATACTCTGTATTTCTCTGGATAATGCTATGAAGCATGATGATGGATGTTACCAGTAGATTCAATTAATTCCAGCACCATGGTTCTTCTTCACACCCCCAAAGCTCTACAGTCTCAGCTTCTGCCTTGGGGTGGTTTTATTTCCCATCACCAACCCCCTGTATCTATGTCAAGATCCATTTGCGCTACAAAGATTGAGGTCTAATGGGAATCAGCCTGAGCTCAGCTCACTTACTTTTAGCTCGCTGGTGTCCACATATCCTGCTGAAGCAGTAATGTATGACTGAGAGCTCTTTGGAAAATCCACCTGGAACATGTTAACGGTTTGTCGAGGCACTTTCCCTTTAGTGGTTGGGTGGAGGGTCAGCAGGGGCAGTGGCATCCTCTGTATTTTTCTTGGACTCGAGTTTCTCTTCAATCCGACTTGATCCCACTCCGTCCAGCTGACATTTCTCCCTGCCTTTAAGTACCAAAGGCCATCACTTTGCTTTACACTTTTTTTCTGTTCCTCCCTTGTGTCCAGCTTTTCCTCCGCTTATCTCTCCTCTCCCCTTTCAGCTTTGGGATCAGGTCTCAGGCTGACTCTAAAACGGGGGCGTTGTACTAGAGGAGGAAGGCTAAATGACTTTCTGTTGTTGACCCGAAACTGGATGTTTATCAGGACTGGGGCTGCCTGCTTTTTCGCGCTACCTGTTGTGAGAGGGAGATCACAAGTCTGTCACTGCCTTTGGTCATGTAATACACTGCCACCCACATACTGTAAGCATTAAGTGACTTAGTTATGTCCTATGCAGGCTAAAAAGGCAGGCTGACACAGGAGTGGAGAGTCAGACTGGCACACATACACTGTGAGGTGTGTGATTCACATTACAAAGCAGCTGTCATTGCAAAGTAGAAAAACCATAGTAGCTTTAGTCTTTATATGCTGGTTAAAAAAAGGGGAGGAATTAGTATAGAATAAAACCTGTCCAATATATCTCAGTTTACTAGATCTGAGGCTTATGGAAGATGAGAGAATTTGCTTTTGGAAGGAGCAACTCCTTTAGTGCTATAAACAAACTCAAAATAAACCTTCGAGTTGTTGTGTCTCTCTTGATCTCTTCACACTGTTTTGATGTTAAACTGTCATCGTGTCAACTTGCATCAGCCTACGAGCAAGAAGCTAGCTGGGCCAAACACATACTCTTGTCATCATCTGCTTTCATTAACAGCACAAGAAAAGAGCTTTCATTTGGCCCAGTGAAGCCAAAGCAATGATATTATATTATTGGTGGCGGCCTCATTGTTCAGAGAAGTGTTTTCTTTGAGCTTGATAATGAATAGGGCGGGACAAAACTCCAGTAAAACTTAGATATTAACGCAGAGACCATCCAGATGACCATCTGTAATATTGGCAGGCTGATGAAGGGCAGGAGGGACTGAGAGGAATGAAAGAACTTCAGAGTGGCGTGGATTGTCTCAACCCAAGTGACAGCTGGGGTGAAGGTGGCTAGAGGTTGGAGAAATAATCTTAAGTGTAGTTCTTGGGTCAAGCGAGAACATTTGTGTGAAAGAGGTTAATTAGAGTCTAGCTACCATCAAGTGTCACCAAAGTGCCATAAAGCAAGGCACTTGAAGCCAGCTGCTGCAGTGGAGATAACAGTATGATTTAGATATTTGGGGTCTTACCTGGGGAAATTTGGGATAATTTGAGTGACCAACCAAAAAGTAAATCACGTAACAAAAGGCTTTATTTTCAACAGATGTCAACTAGATTGGAAGTGAATTGTTCCCCATGAATGCCAGGATGACTTTCATGTAACCTTATAATAATGACGTTTTTTTTTCTTTTTTAAATAAAACTGAATCTCATGACATTTCCATTATCCCTTTTTGAAAGATTATATTATCATTGGCATCAAGATTTAAGGGCTAATGAGGAAAGTGCTAAGGACAAGTTGCACTGAAGCTATGTGCTAAACAAATAAAGTAGCAGAAACTAGAAGATGTTACCTTTTATAATTCCATTTATGTATTGCTTATGCATTTGGATTTCTGTTAAAAGATTTCCTTTAAGGTCATAGGTAAAAATTCTATACAACAGGATAAATGTGACCCTAGCTCAGGGGTCGGCAACCCGCGGCTCTAGAGCCGCGTGCTGCTCTTTAGTCTTTATTTTGCGGCTCCGGGTGGTTTGGGAAAATAAATTAGAAGTATTTAGCTGAAGTGCATTTTATTTGTGTTTAGTTCTTTTTTTTTTTAACTTGCAGTTCTAAATTGGAAGATTATTGTGATTTTGAAATATAAAAATAAAATTATATCTTATTATTTTTTTCATCGCTCAAAATAAGCGTCACACTCGCGGAAGCCAGTGTACCCGCCGAAACGCCGTGCATTTATCGAGACTTTCAACCCCAGGTAGGCCAATTATGGATCTTCGGATCCATATTATGTCAGCAGCTGTTCTCCACCGTGAACTATGTTACAAACAAACACCGCTCACACCTCACAGATGACAGCTTACAGTCTTGCATAAAGATGAAAGCCCCGATTTACAGACGCTGTGCGCAGAGGTTCGGGACCAGAAGTCTCATTGTAAACATATCACGGCAGACCCGACAATGTTTCCATGAACACGCTTTTCAGCATCTCTTTATTGACCACTTTTCACAAACGGTTGCTGTACGCATACAGCCGGCTGTAGCTTTTCAGCTCACAGCCCGACACACACCAACACAACAGCAGAGAGAGCACAGACTTTAAGGCAGCAAGGCGTGATTGCGGGTGCCGCTCAGGTGCATCCGACTCCCATGCTGCGGCACTGCAGACCACGCCCCGCCACACACATTAACCAGGTAAAATACATATTTAGGCAGAATTTTGCAAATATCTATTTTTCCTTTTTCAGCAGGATAGTGCATTTTTTTCCAATTACTTTTTAAAAGCCAGGCCAAGGCTCCAAAAGCCCAAAGGTGATATAAGGGTGGCGGCTCACAACAGTTTTTGTTTGCTACATGGTTCATTTTAGTTCAGCTGGGTCTCTTTCCTTTTGTTATACTTCTTTAAGAGTTCAAAATGTGTTAATTACATAAATAAAATGTAATTTTCTCTGTAGCACTTCATGGATTTCATAAGCAACACACCTTAGTTGCTCTGTGGATTCTTTTAAAAAGCAGTTAAAAACGTTTCTGTTCAAACAAGCCTTTTCTTGATCTACGTATTTTATATTCTTTACATTATTTACATTTGATCTTTTACATTGTGTATAATTCTATTGATTGTATGGTTTATTTTAATATTTGTGTACAGCGCTTTGTGACTGCCTGTCTGTGAAAAGCGTTTAATAAATAAACTTTACTTACTTACTTTAGTTGTTCACACAAAGCACAAAGGTAAAAAAAAACAATATATACAGCGTTATCTTCATTTTAGATGTCAAAAAGTATTTGTGGCTCCCAGTGTTTTCTTTTGCGTGGAAACTGGGTCCAAGTGGCTCTTTGGGTGTTAAAGGTTGCTGACCCCTGCCCTAGCTCCTCAACCCTATGCCTAAACCCCCGAGGACTAAATCACCATAGATAGTAATTCCTAACCCTGATGCCATATTAAGGCAAAGTGTTTGATGTGTGTCAGTGGAATCATTATTTACTATATTCCATGCCAAAACCAATGCCAGAACTTCTGGGGAAACAAGTTAATTACAATTTTTACTAAGTGACATATTCTAACTTAGGGTTAGAGGGTCAACTGCAAAGATGAGTTGGACTTCAAAGTGTTAACCAGTTAATTTGGTACAGGGGGCACTGGCGCTTAATTGGATTTTTAGTGAGAAAATATAATACATGTAATGTATTTGTTTGTTGCTGGTGTCTGCTTTAACCAGTTATCTCTGTATGCTTATCTGTGTGCCATATATCATCTAGTATGCACCTAATATCAAATTGTTCCCTACTCTACATCAACATTTTAGGTGTTTATGCTGTGATCAGCATTCAGACGCCACAATCATTATTTTTAAGCCAGTACGAGATGTCACGGACAGTTTAAATACATTTCTATGTCCCCAAAATTCAGCTTTTGCTATCTCTTTAAAAAGTCAGGACCTCAAAGAGAATTTAATCAAAGCTCAGTGAATATGAACATTGTTTGTCCGCGCAGCATGAGCTTGTAATGAGGCACCCACAGGGGGGAAATAGAAGTCCTAACTAAATAAAATTATGAAGCTATGAATGGATGGGGTGGTCATGAACTCATCAAACACTTACCTCGAGTTCCATCTTAAATCAGCAGCACCTTGCACAACATCATCATCCACAGGAAAGCAAATGAACTAATGATAGGCATGCAGCAGAGAGGAAAATAATTCAAAACAGTTGTCAAGTCATGCAAGGAGAAAGAATAACACTACAACAAAGTATAAAACGGAAACAAGCAAGCTGATGGGACATGAATTTTCATGATGGTTTAATGCACCTCTAAATTCCCACTGTCACGTACATATTCATTTGCAAATGACTAATATATTATGCCCATGCACACGTACTCAACAGTTTTGACTCCAAACGAATGCTAGGTGAATATATTCCAGTAATTTGAAAGATTTTACAGGTAACAACTGCAGTGACATAGATGAAGTGGCAATGGAGTTGGTATTTCATTCAAAAATACATCCTTGGTATTGCTACCTAACTCAGATTGCAGAGAAATTGTGTAGCTTACCTAAAGCCGTCCTTGCAGGCGTGGCATCACTCTTGATCCAGAAGGAGACCCAGGAGAGAACCACAGTCAGGATGCAGGGGATGTAGGTCTGGATGGTGAAGTAGCCCATCCTCCTGCTGAGGTCGAAGTAAACGGTCATTAACACGTAGTCACCTGTTGAGGAAGGGAAAATGGAATGTGGAAACAACTGGCAAAAAAGTACAAATAATATAAGAAAGTCAGAAAAGATACTATCATGAAGTAATAATGCTGTCAAATCGAATAACACAAAATAAATTTAAACTTTGCGTGTCAATACTTACGCAGAAAAATGATGTATATTGTGAGAAAATGTCAACAAATTCTCTTGGAAACCACAGAATAAAGATCCATCTACAACTTCAGAATGTGGCTGAAAACTTCTACATTTTAAACGTTACTGTGATGTCAAAGAAAATTTATATTATAACCAGAAACTTCTAAAAGCTTGCTCTTTCTGCTTATTACTGCTTCCCAAAGTGTAGAAATGCAAAAAAGACTAAACAAGCTGCACAATAACTAAATCCATGACATTCTTTTGGGGCTTTAACTTACTGTTAAATGAACAACATTGTGGAAATTGTGGTTAAATTGATAATACCAGTCAATAGAGACCGACACACAATGTAAGTACTTGTGGAAACTATTGCAAAATTAATAAAAGGGAAGCTTTGGAAGCAAGCCTGCACGGTGTGGCATGATTGCTGTAGAGTATTTTCATTGCTCACAAAAGAAAGAAAACTTTGCTCATTTTTGCAGTTCTAAAATCCTCTTCAAGTTTTATAATACTGTAAGGTGACCCTGCTATTTTTTAGTTACACTTATATCCACTCACAAACTACCGATCTTCATCCCTGAGGATCCCGAGCAGCACACTGGCTCATATGTAATTAAAAAAGTCTGATGTCTAGCTGGAGGCTACATCATGCTGAGCTCTTAACTTCATCTCTGTCATCAAAACAAAGGATGGAAAAAGAATCTGAACATTAGACGGTATACTTTTTTCTGAACTTCATCAGAGCAGCAGTGACACTCACTAGATATTAAACAAAAGCAGAATTGTGCATGATGTGACAGAATGTAGGTGAAGCACTAACAAAAACAGCTAGGGGTCAGTAAATGAAAACACCTCCCCGAAAAAGAGATCTAAAGCATCTAAGGCTGTAAAGACCTACCACATATCTACAGACATAGGGATTGGGGCTCAGGATACAGATATATCCAGCCTGTATGTTGAAGTGTCTTTGGACAACATATTAAACCCCAGGTTGTCCTTAATCTATTCATTGAAATATGAATGTATGGTAAAGCACTTTGGCACAGAATAATGTGTTTGACTGGGCAAATGAGACTTGTACTGAAAGTCCTATATAGGTACCGTTCCACTTATCATTGTCTCTGGGCCAAATCTGGTTGGTCAGTCGTAACCTTTTTAGCCTAAAACCCTATACCCTTAATGATGAGTTATAAGACACAATCTAATATCTCCATGTTTTTGTTGTTTCTACATTGTCAAAATCATGTTGGTCAAGGATCAGCATGGCAACTAACCAATGATGTTGTCTGAGGATTCAGTTATCATTAACCATGAAGATCAGTTAATGCTACTAAAAACTGTTGCAACCCGATATGAGTAACCTATGTTTGACTAACAGCAAAGCTAACTTGACAATGCATTTATTATATGCTATAAATTAATAAAGAAGACACTTGAAATGCTTACCAGTAAAGAGTTTTATATATAAAAAGGGCATATTTAAATTTTTCCTGCCACATTGCAAAGCTATAACATTCGATGATTGGTCGGTTGCAATGTTAATCCTGGACCAGCATTATGATGATGATGCATGTACAACACCAACACGGGGATATCGCATACACCCGTTTGGACACCTCAGTATAAATCAGTAAAGATGTAGTTTGATGTTTTTCCATGGTTCTAATGGTTTTTCCAAGGGTACAGGTAGGGATCGCCCTCACAGACCTTTAATGCACATCTGTTTTGTTTTGTCATTTTGTTCTGGAAGCAGGCCAAAATATGTTAAACACTGCTCAGATCAGAAAAGACAAACAAAGGTTACCTGCAGGAGGGTAAAGAGTTAACAAGTTTTTTGCTCGCTGGAAATACCTTCAGTATGTTTAATTAAGACCATTTTTGTGCATCAAAGTGAAGTAAAACTTCACTGAAATTCATCAAAATTGGAATTTTTGAAGACATCGTTTAGGACATAAAAAAAAAATCCTTTTTAATTGGTTATAAAATTGCTCTCCACAAATTAATTCAGCACCTTTTTCCAGCTTTCTCCTGTCCTTGTCTTTTTTTCCCACCCCGCTCTGTCTGTCCTTCATATTTAATCCAGCAAAGGACTCAAAGAGAGGAGCATAGAGAAGCTTAATGGAGCCCAGAAAATAGTAGGAAAAACTTCTCTCTCACGAACAAGTGTATAATGGCACTGTCATCGTGAAAAGAAGATAAATGAGAAGAGTGGCAGAATTTACTCCGCTACCTTTCTAATGGTCCCACTACTGTAGGATGCTTGTTTAGCAGCCAATAATTGACAGGAGTGGGGAGATATTGAGCTACAACTCTTGCTGAACAAAAGCCATTGTTCGGAAACTTTGACAAAGGTCTACATATCACCCGAGTATTATTTGGAATATTTCTGAAGACTGCCTTTTGATAATCGGAGCTATTCAGATGATGTCATTTTGAATAAAACATCTGAATAAGGCAACCTTTTGTCCTCTAACAGCTGAATTCATGCTTTAGATTTAACTGAAATGATCACTTTTACTGGGTGTTCAGTGAAGTAGGAGTGCAGTGATGCTGGTGGTACTGAGTAGGGGGGGATCGCTTATGTGATTACGAATGTGCTCAGGGGCAGAGAGATTGGCACAGCCCTGGCAAGGTTTTGCATTTTGTGATTTTTTTTAAGGCATACCAAATATGACCCCGAGGACCCCTCAGACATTGGAATACACCATTTACTGTCCAAGTGATATTTGTTGAAGCTAGGAATCTAAAATGCCCTTGAAAAGTGTTCAGTACTGGCACCACATTACTTATGCTGCATTCATTTTCTGGGGTCAGAAATTTACAAGTGGAAACTCCAGAGCTTGAAAAATAAAAAAATCCAAAACTCAGCAGCAATATGTGTTTCCATAAGTCATGACCTTAAAAATTACATCGCACTGTCTGACGTAGATACGGTTGCCTCTTGCAGTTCATCTTATATTCAAGATAACACAGACATCCATACGACCTTTATCTCAGGTCTTATTACATGACACTGACATCTGAATGTCAGTAAGAGATTTTTCAGTTTTCAGTCAGACACACTCCTCTGATATGCTGAGACACCCTATGGAATTTAATTTCCCACTGTATCTTATAAGTCTGAAATTCCCAAATTCAGACATCCAAATGATGTTCTTTAGAAACACCCCATGTCAGAGTGATCTAGCCGTCCTAAAAGTTCCCTGGAAGGCCTTCAGTTGATTGAATATGCTGCAGCAAGAGTTCTGATGAGGACTAAAAAAAGAAAGGAAAATCCAAAGTCCATCCATCCATCTTCATCCGCTTTGTCCAGGGCCGGGTCACGGGGGCAGCAGCCTAAGCAAAATCCAAAGTCAAATTTAAAAAGTTTCACCTCTCATACAAGATCTTGTCTGATCAGGCCCATGTTATCTTAAAGACTTCATCGTTCCTTGTTATCCTAACAGAGCTCTTTACTTTAGACTGCAGGCTCACAGTGCTACTGGTTACTAGAGTTGGGAGGCAAAGCCTTCAGCTCTGGTGTTCCGTTGAACCAGCTCCCAGTTTGCATTCAGAAAACAGGACACTCTCCTATAAGATTAGGCTTAAAACGTTCCCTTTTGATAAACCTTATAGTTAGTGCTGGATCAAGAGTACCTGAACCCTTTCTTAGTTGTGTTGCAACAGGCCTAGGCTGCTGGGGGCTTCCCATGATGCTCTGAGTGTTTCTTCTCCATTCCCCTCTTTACACTCTCTAAGTGTTGATGCACCACTCTGTATTTAATCTTTAGTTATTATTAATCTGGATCTCTTCCACAGTGTCACAACAGATGGCAGCCTGCTTCTGTAGGGGGTTTCTTCCTGTTGAGTTGAAGTTTCTCCTTTCCATTGTTGCCAAGTGCTTGCTCATAGGGGATTGTTTGATTGGTGGGATTTTTTATGTATTACTGTAGGGTCTTTACCTTACAATATAATGCACCTTTAAGTGACTACTGTTGTGATTTGGCACTATAAAAAATATTAATTGAATTTTTATATAATATATAGTTGAAGTAGATATCAATTGTCCTGCTCATTGACAGCCTTGGAAATGTTTCACCTATTGCCTTCCCATCCAAAGTGCCCCTGACTGACATTAAAGAACAATTCACCACTCTACATGTAGGTCTTTTAAACATTGTGAATAAACCTCTGGTCTTTGATGAGAGAATAACGGGGGACAGGCACGTGAGGAACGCCATTGCTGGCTCTGCTCTCAGTGCCTTGAGATCAGTTACCATTTGCGTTTTGCGGGAAACCTAGCTAGTATTAGCACGTAAACAAGAACTCTCATTTGTCATCTGCGCATGAGTTTTATCTCGCTAATCACCCCGAACAACATTTGTTAAAGACAAAACTTTTAATAACTCGTTTAACACTTCAGCAATGAAAGCTTTGATGACTAAGACGGTAACGCATACAGCTTACAGTTGTGAATGTGTGCGTGAATGGGTGGATGACTGGATGTGTAAAGCGCTTTGGGGTCCTTAGGGACTAGTAAAGCGCTATACAAATACAGGCCATTTTTTTTACAGTTTAATAAAACCGGCAAGTAGCAACACTAGCAACTGGCATATCTGAGAAATATCGTATGAAGTTTAACCAGGTGTTTTGCTAATACACCTTTTCATTACTTTTTAGGTAGATTGGCAGTTTAATCAGGTATGATTATTTAATATTTTAAAAAGTATATTGTAAATCATTTTTAAACTAAAAATAGGCCTGTGTTTCTGAGCTGACTAAAAGCTCAAAACTATGATTTTATAGATTATTATGAATTACTGTAGAAAAAAACAAAATAAAACATATTTAAAATGACCAATTAAAATCTGTAGCAGTA